TTATTTCTTGCAAATTTTTGTCCCAGTAATTTCAATGATGATACTCGCTGAGCCACATGTTTCAGTTGTTTAAGAATAGAGTATTGATGTTTTAGATAAATTAACGGGACTAGACTAACAAATCGCCTGAAATTGAGAGGGCTTCATATGACTTTAATAAAAATAAATCAGTTCTGAAAATATAATTTTCAATTAATTTTCTGCCTGCTGAAGAAACAGATATAACAAATTCGATATTCCATGAAATTCCTAATAAAAAAATAATGAAACCTCTCGGACCCGACATACAAGTGTGTAATAATAAGAGAAGATTTGCTGAGAGCATAAACCATCATTTTTCAGCTCGTCTTCAGGAAGTGAAATTACATTTTCATTGGCAGATTTTACGTTTCAATTTAGTAATATGTCCATATTAAGAAAGGATTTGGAAAAGCTGAATACACTTATTTGACCAACCATCTATGAAAACCAAGCAGATGGCAACTCTAATGTAGCACATGATATCCTTGACTCCTTAAATAACTCACATTCCAAAATCAAATTTACACTTGAAATAGAACAAGANAATATTTTCTTGAATCGAATATACCAATTCATTGCTAGTTTATATTATTCTCATGATTCAAATGGGCAGCGTTTTCCATCAAACGTTATATATATTCAGTTCAAATCAGTAAAATCACTCAATCCAATTGCATAATTGATTAGATTTTAATATATTCTAGAATGTAAACAATATGTCAGGTTTTATACATACAGTATATTATTGAATTCAACTGAATATGCGGTTTTAGAGTCAAATTAACGAAAATAATTGAATGAAACTAATGAAATAAAACATTGTTACTCAATGAATATTCATTTCGAAATTGAAAAATCGTCAGTTTTGCTTCAAATAATAAGTTTATTTCGCCATATTCAAATGACGAATTTGTTCAACCCATTTATAATTTATTTAAGTCAATAACTTTTCATCAGTAACCTGTACTTTAATCAAATTAGGTTCAAAAAATTGAGTACATAATGATATCAATCGTAAATTCATAACTGACTATAACCCACTGAAAAGTTGCTTTTGATTTACAGTGGTTTATGCCACTTGGGTAATACTTTAATTATCATTATTCAAGGAATTCTTGTTTCGAAGAAGAAATAAAGCTTTACGTCGTCGCCAAGTTCAGCTTAGTACCATCGAAAAACCCATCAGCCTAATGGGCCTATTACATTTAGCCTTCCGGTTCATAATTTTTTTCCAAAGAAAGTGTTGGAATTGACGAAGAACTCTAAATATAGGGTTGTTTGGTTTTATATCGAGTGGTAGGATTTATATCACAAAATGGATTCATTCAACCCCAAAAGTTGGAATCACTTGGAATAATAATAATGATATCAGAAATATCAGATTTGGGTATAAAAATGAATAAACAGAACTATTATACACACATGTTTGTGGAATTACAATTAAGACAATAATGAAAAAATAGAAATAAAACTAAGTGAAAAATTAATGTATATTAAATAAAATTATACCTAATTGAATTATATTATATAGCACAGATGAATATGAGTATATATACATACATTTAATATCTGCAGAGATGTTATAGCTAATGAATAATGGTTATATATTATTATATGATGATGATGTTGTTAAATGATTTTAAATATGATTTGGGTTTTTTTTTTCTTGAAAAATCTGAATTTNCACTCTGTATATTGATTTTAATATTAACATGTGGGAATGCCAGTCTGCTAATGTTACAACATTTTCCGCCATTGTTAACTCTTTTGGCTTAAATCAAATTATTGACTCTCCCACAAGAATAACAGGGACATGTGCTACCTCATTGGATTTGATGATTGTTCGGAGCAAATTGGTTATAACTAAAAATATTACTGATAGTGTAGGAATATCCGACCATTCGATGGTAGCTTGTATGTTAGGAGTACCAGGAAAAGAGAAAATCTCAAAATTTGTTAATATTGAAGCTTTAAATATTCTAACGAAAATGATTTTTAGCGAGATTTGTTTCAAATTCCCTTATTTCGTATTTTTGACCAAAGAAGTGTTGATGAGAAGGTGTCATTTTTTGTCAACGGTTTGAATAATCTATTTGATAAACATGCTCCCATAGTGAGTGCAAGAGTAACCAAACCAAGGGCACCATGGTTGACGGACACTATAAGAGATATGATGAAAACAAGAGATAAGGCTTTTCTGAAATATAGAAACACAAAGTCAGAGGCTAGTTTTAGATTTTACAAAGATATGCGAAATCATGTAAATGAAGCAATAGAAAGGGAAAAGAAGGCATTTTTTACTTTTCAGTTTCAACAAAATGACCGAAAAAAATGTGGCGTATCCTGAAACCAAATAAAATGATTTTAGATAAGGAGAAAAGTATTCCAGATTATCTGAAAAGTGTTGATGAGGTCAATGATTTATCCAATAATGGAACCTCCTGTTCAACTACCTCAAAAGCCTGTTTCAAAGAAGTGAATGATCTTTTTGTTTTTCAAACAATAGGTGATATTAAAACAAATGCAACTGGTTGTGATAATTTGAATATAATGCTTATAAAACTATGTTGTCCGCATATTGTTGAGTACATTACTCACATAATAAACTTTTGCCTGATTGAAAATGTTTTTCCTGAGATGTGGGGCAGTGCTGTTGTGAAAGTGTTACTAAAAAAAATATTCCCAGAGAGTTTAAAGAGGTACGACCCATAAGTGTACTTTCTTCTGTATCTAAAATACTAGAGAAAACAATAGAAGTACAACTCCAGGAGCACATTTCAGAATTCAACATTTTACCATCGGTTTCGTATGGGTTTCGGAAGGGATTCAGTTGCACTACAGCATTGCTGCATGTTGTAGATGACACTGTCAGAGCTTCAGATAGAGGACATAGTACAGCTCTAGTACTTCTTGACTTCAGCAGAGCCTTCAACACTATAAACCATGATTTACTGATATCAATTTTACATTACGTTGACCTGTCAACTTCAGCTATCACCTTGCTTGCCAATTATCTTAATGGAAGGAGTCAAAGAGTTACATTCGATGGAACTTTTTCATCTCCTCTATGTCTTCAACGCGGAGTGCCACAAGGCTCTATACTTGGGCCGATCCTGTTTGCTCTTTACTCCTCCAATTTTATCAAGAATTTGAATCACTGCAAGGTGCACTTCTATGCGGATGACACCCAAATTTATTATAGTTTCCCCCCTCTTGATGTAAATGATTCTTGCATGATACTTAATGAAGACTTGGATAATTTTTATAGGGCTGCAACAGAACACTGTTTACTCTCAAAAATCAAATGTTCTATTATTTGGATCAAAGTCCAAACGATCTGATATTTTAGAGTACCTAAATATATCAATCAATGGCGTGAATATCGAGTTGGTGGAAGAAGCGAAAAATCTAGCGAGTCATCCTTGACCACACTCTCAGATTCGAAAAGAACTTGAATAACTCAATACGACGTTCATATTCTTCTTTGAAATTGATATATGGAGTTAGGCAGTATCTTCCCCTGGAATTGAAATTAGTAATATGTGACGCACTAGTTTTATCACATTTTAACTATGATAATACTGTCTATGGACCACATTTGAGTGAGCATTATAAACGTAAAATTCAAAAAGTACAAAACTCGTGCTTGAGACTTATTTATGGAATAAGACGTTCTCAGAGAATCTCTCATAAACTCAAAGATGCCTATTGGTTAAAAATGAATAACAGAAGAATCTTGCATGCCGCCAACCTATTCCATAAAATTATTCTTACCAGAAAGCCTGCCTATCTTCATAGAAAAATATCTTTTCGAACGGATGTCCATAACGTCAATATCAGGTTCAGGGGAACACTTACTACACCTTATTTTAAAACTGAATTTTTCCGCAGGTGTTTCAGTTATCAAATATGCCTTGTGATGAATGACCTTCCTCTCGAATTACGTACAGCTGGGTTCCAAAAATTCAAGTATAATCTATTTAGCCATTTATTCAATATACGTCAGTGACACAGTATACTATATACAGTAATTCCACTTCGGGTGATTTTTGGTTTGAATTTTCTACACGCAGATCCAGGAGTTGCAGTCTCAGGTCTGCGCAAACGACGAGTTCAAGACAGGCACGCAATCAAAAAACCGTAAATTACAAGAACAGATGCAAATGTTCTGTGGTACCTTTCAACTTTCCCGTTCATAACAATGGTTTTAAAGTTTTTACTTAGATGATAATTATATGCCTCGTAAATTATCACAAATATTTCATGACGTCTATTTTAAACGTCTCGCAACTCGCAGGACTTGAACGGTGTATAATTAAAAACACAATATAATTATTATTCTGTTGTCCAGATCCGAATGGAGTGATATTTAATTGTGGAATGAAGACTATTATCATCGTTTAGACGGCCATAGCTGTNAAGATTATTATTATTATTATATTCATTTTCGTGCCATAACTTTCACAGCCCTTCACAACTTTTACTTGGAATATATCTCAAATAGGAAAGCAGCTGTTATCTACCTGTGCGTTACTGATAGAACTTGTATATCTGAATATACCTCTGTTCAGTACTTATAGTCTAAAATGCTGAGCAAAGTACTCAATTTATCCTAAAAATTGTACATACTTCTTATGTCAGTATAGATACAAATTCCAAGATAAAAATAAGTTACAATTATTTTATTCTACGCCACTAATGTCACAAAAAAAATCATTACAGTAATAGTTGATACACCTTCTTCATTATTTCTAAAAACAACAACTCGCAATCATCCGATAACCGAATTGATTAACATTCCTCATGAATTAAAAGCGAAATTAGCGTGCCGCGATGCACCCATCTCGAGGGAATTCCATTCAGTCCGCCACGAAACCCATAAAAAACCAATTTCGCGAACTCCAAACCGACCGGCCACATACCCTCATCGATTCCTCCACTAGTACCTGCTCTCCGTCACGCCGTTAATGAGACGAAGAGGTGGGACCCGTCGACGAAGCTGTCCTCGTCGCAGTATGGCTCAAACCGCCGTCCTCCTAACAGCGATATGCATCGCCTTGTCCCTGGCCGCTGAAGACCGTAAAGCGCGCTCGGCGGACCTAGACCGGGGCCCCGATATGGCCCCTAAATCGGTGGACTTTGCAGCAGAAAGTGATGCATCCAATCTGACACAAGCTCTGGAACGAAGACTGGAGATGAGCACCGAGTTCTTCCTGGTGCCCAGCAGCGCATCCCCTAGCACCACGACGGTGAGTCACGTGTCCAAAACGGCCTGCGTGGGATGCCCAAAAGACACTGGAGTGCTACGCAACGAAGTGTGGGTCATCCCTGTGCTAGCCCTGTCGGCCATTACAATGCTCCTGATCGCCGGGTTCGAAGTGTTCGTGCTGTGCAAAGCCTGGAGGACAACCCCCAGTCGCAGACACTTGTTCCTGGGGCAGATGCTCCTTTTGGGGTTGTTCTCTTGCGCTGGACTGGCCGCCGTCCTAACCGCCTCCCCCACTGAACTCTCCTGCGCCGTGGTGCGATTCGGCATGGGGGTGGCCTACACCATAGTGTTCGCCTCGCTCCTAGTGAAGTGCGTTTTTCTGATCAGCCTCAACGGAGGAGTGTACCTCCCTGCGCCCTACCAAGGACTCTTACTGATGTTCGCGATTCTCATCCAGGTAGCTATAGGCATTCAGTGGCTGGTTTCCAGCCCGCCTTCGGTGGACAGCATCGCCGTTGAGGCCGTTTTGGCCCAGAACAAGCATCGTCTACTTGTCACCGCTGAAGACGTAAGTACGTTTATCCCCCTGTGCAGCACCCCCTACGTGGACATGCTGCTGTCGCTGATCTACGTGGTGTTTTTAATACTTTTCGTGACGGTCTTGGCTGTTAAGTCCAGAGGGATTCGTGACAATTACAGAGAAGCGACTTATATAGGGCTCTCCGTTGGGTGCAGCATCCCCACGTGGCTGGTGTGGACCACGAGCGGTCTGGTGGTGAACGAGAGACACAGAGATGCTTGTATCGCGTTCGGACTTGTTATTTCTTCGGTGATGGTGTTTTTGATTATGTTCATGCCAAAAGGAAGACAACTGGCGGCAATGGGCAAAGAAGGAGTATACGTGGAAGACCGCGAGGAACGCTTCAGTTCGCTGAGCAGAGCGGCGTCTGGATATTCGCCGTCGTTCTTTCATTTCAAGCCGGTTAAGTATGGGCTGAACCAGTACGGATCTTCTCATAAGCATCAGCAGACTGTCACTACCGTAGGAGGAGGTACGTTGAGATTTTAGTTGAAAAACGCTCAGAGCATTGGTTTTATTCCAATTTTTTTTCCAAAAAACACAATTTTTTATTTACAATATCGAATTTTGATAGCAAGTGAATCGCATTTTTCTCCATGAACTGTTTTCTGAAACTTGAAATGATCATCATGTAAATCGAATCATGAGAGAATCGATTTATTTCCATCGCAATTTATATTGCTTCCCAAAATTTCCATTTGGGTATGTAATTTTCAACATTCCACCCCTTCGCCCTTAAGGTGTAGCAACACCAACTTTCAAAATTTAAATGGCAAAGTAATTTTCGTGATAACTCGATTATTAATATTATAGTGAATTTGAACTAGGCCTTCATTTCATAACAAGCAAAACACTATATAATTTAAATGTTGTAAAAAGTGTTTCAAATTATTGTCTTTTTCATATAATTTTGAAAAAAATTGTTATTTCTGAATACTTTCTGTTCACAATGAACATATATTATGTGGGGAAATTGATGAGTTCAAAATAGAAAAATGTCATTTTTGTAGATTTCTGAAATAATATAAAACAGAAAATTGAGCACAAGAAGTGTCTTGAGCTAAGTCTGCCTATTCGTCTGTCTGTCTGCCTGTATGTCTGATACGATAAGCTTAAAATTTTTTCATGTACATCATAATCGCCGTTCACAGCAAATGAATCTTTGGAGATATCGCCACGTTGAAAGTATCGTGCGAAAAAATGAATTCAAACGATCCGATAAACCGTATTATTGTTTTGTGTTTTCTTAGGTAGATAGGTACCTTATCTGAAAAAAAATTTATATTCAGCTTCGAATAGAGGTATTTGAAAGCCATTTTTTAATAAAAGCCGTCTACCAATACATGATAAAATAAAGTCCTCGCCATGTCTGTCAGTCTGCCTATTCGTCTGTCTGTCTGCATGTATGTCTGATACGATAAGCTTAACATTTTTTCATGCACATCATAATCGCCGTTCACAGCAAATGAATCTTTGGAGATATCGCCACGTTGAAAGTATCGTGCGAGAAAATGAATTCAAACGACCCGATAAACCGTATTATTGTTTTGTGTTTTCTTAGGTACCTTATCTAAATAGTTGTGCGGTAGTATCGAATTGAACGAATAATAACCTATTTTGCTCAATATAACCCTAACAAAAGGTAGCCTCATCCACACAAATATACTTCGAATGATCCACAATGTTTCAGAACATTCACAACAATCGAGACTGTTCTGGAACGATTTACAATGACCTGGGATGTTTCGAGATGTTCCAGACTAGTTTTAAACATTACACAACATTCCAGAATCTTCCAGTGAGTTGTGAAATACTCTCGAATACTCTCAAGTACTGTACACTGTTCGGAACTTCCGTCCCACATATCTTCAAAAGCGCTCAGGTAAAAACGAAAACTTTGTTCTTAAATAGGGGATAGAGGGGGCTACCACACCATTTTACTCCCATGATCATTTCACAATGATCAGACATGTTCCGGGATGTTCCAGACTATTCCTAAACATTTCAGAATGTTCCAGGATATTCTAGAATGTTACAGAATGCTTTCGAACATTTTCGAATGTTCAGAATAGAGGGCAAAACTCCAGCCCTGATATCTTCAAAAGCACGCCCTTCAGGAGTTAGGTTAGGTTGGGTCCAAAGTGAGTGGATCTATTCGATTCTCCACCGCAACCCGCAAGGGTTTATTATGGCCCACACATATTCACACTCGGCCAAATAAACACAGATTCTTAACCAAGCCGATTAGTTTGTATGGTGAGTGGTCTTTCAGGTCAGATGGTAAGAGTACGGCTCTGCCAAACTATAAAGACCTGATTCGGTCCTCAACGGGACAGACACAAAGTATATGCTCTGTTAATGAGGTAGTCGGATAGTCAAGTTGCAAGATTCCCACCTTGATACCCACGACAACCTTCCCATATGAGGGTTTTCGCACGTCAGCTACACCTGACGATGCTTCAGATTCAGGCGTGCACGGCTTTTTCGCCTCTGGTTTTGGTGAAACGTTAGCAAACGTTTGCTAACCTGCTCATGGGGGGTTTGTTCCCCCACCTGGGACAGATTCTGCGTACGGCACTCAAGAATTTGGTGCAAGGCGGTTTTATAAGGTACCCCGCTCTTGAGGAGACGACTCAGTCGTTTTCTGGCTGCACCACCAAATCTTTTTTGAGGTTCAGTTGTTGAATCAGGAGTTGGGGAGTTGAGAAGCTCTCGCTCCTAATCTAAATTCACAGGGAGGTCAGTTGGAGTCGTAAACTCGACATCCATCTCCTCTGCAGACTCGCTCCTGAACTAAATTTACAGGGAAGTCAGTTAGAGTCGTCAACTCGACATCCATCTTCTCTGTAGACTCGCTCCTGAATTAAATTTACAGGGAAGTCAATTGGAGTCGCAAACTCGACATACGTCTCCTCTGTAGACTCAGCGCCAGAAATAATTTTTGATTTCACGCTGTCCATAAAAGTACCATGAGTAGCTAGGGACAGAAGGTCTGTCACGGCAGAGCTCCGCATTATCGTGACAAGGCGATGCTACGACGAGAGAGCGTCCGGTATCTCAAAGGTTCCGTCGAGACAGCTGATAGGCTCGTTTTCATTCATCCTCTCGGATACACACACCTTAGGATTAAGCCATCGTTGGGATGCAATTTGGTAAGAGAATTACAGAACCACAAGTGATTCTGTCATTCCCGTATCCCGCGGGGCTATGTGGAAGCAGGCATCCGATGGCCGGTTTGCTCAGCCCCCACATCCCAAGCCAATGCACTCGCCAAGAACAGCATGCACAGTGGTTCAGGCAGTGAAAGATGAACAAGGACAGCCAACCCGCTCCCTTCGGGGAGCTGAAAAAGCTGATGTTATACTATGCTATTGAATTGTGTACGGAGAGATTGGTAGAATCCAACCTCACACACAAGTCACTAAAAATTCTCTCGGGCAGTCAAGTCAAGCAGTCTCTCAAGCAACGTCTAAGTTGGTAGCAAATTGCCAAAAACGACTCACCTCAATAGAAAGACTCAACAAATTGTCTCTGGTCTGGATTACCTACTGGCCACACTGGCCTGGAAGGCATTGAGGCTGCTAACTCCCTTGCAAAGGAGTGCGCTGCAAGTAGTTTCATCGGACCAGAACCTGTCATTGGCATTGCTTTGGGTTTTGCCAAACAAATATTGAACACCTGAATGGCAAGAAGATTTGAAGACGTCTGGCCAAATCTTCCAGGATTGGCTGACTCCAAAGCATTTATTCACCCTTCGAAACTTGAAACCAAACAGTTGTTGGACTACGGTAGGGATGAACTACGATGTCTAACAAGCCTCCTCACAGGACACTGTCTTCTGAATCATCATATTCAGAGACTCGGACTGTTGGAAGACAGTGTGTGTCGCCTCTGTTTGGAAAATGATGAAACAGCAGAGCATATACTTTGTGCCTGCCCCGCTGCAGACCGCATCAGGTTTTCAAAGTTTGGTTGAGCCACACTTCTACCATTTGACTTGAAAGATCACTCACTATATAAACGAATCGGCTTCGTTAAGAAGCCGATTAGCTACTGTAGATAACACTTGGATACACCATTATAGGCCTACAACAAAAATACAGTTCAAACAGTGGGCTGCAAAGAGGGAGCTGGCTCCAAAAAAACAAAAACTGTTTGTTTTGTTTTTCAAGCTGGGAAAGTGATGAAGAGACTTTTTTCGGGATAATCATGGAGTTATTTCAATCGATTATCTTCAAAAATAAAAACCATTACAAGAGCATACTACGCATCAGTACTTGTCACGTTGAAGGCAAAACTTGCAGAAAAACGGCCACATTTGCAGAAAAAAAAACCTGTTTCGCCAAGACAACTCACCTTCTCTCACATAAGCGGTTGCCATAATGAAAATCCACGAATTACGATTTGAACTGGTTGACCATCCGTCTTACTCACCAGATCTAGCTCCAAGCGAAAAGTTTGTAGAGTTAGAAAGAAACTATGTTGAAAAATAAAAAATGTCTTGTAACTTTGTATGCTGTACCTCGTATATGTTTCAATTCCATGGCGAATATTTGAAGTACAAACTCAATAGGAAAAAGTTATTTTGGTGTAATTCAATGAGCATCTGTTTCAAAGTACTTATTTCGAATGGGCTTTCATTTCTATACATGTTTGTTGAGGGTTTACTTCGAATTTGATTGCTTTATTACTTTCTCCGGAAGTTTCCCATATTTTTGTATAAAGATGGAGTAATGAAAAGCCGGAAAGCTTTTCCACAAATTTTTGAATTATTCTCAAATCTTGGCCCAACAAATTTATTTCACGAATAAGTAGTCCGTCAATATGTTGTATTATTCTCACATATTCTCTTATTTCTTCTCTAAATAAACGATCCTACAGTATGAATTACGAACCTACGCCAGAAACATTCGAAACTAGGAAAAATAATTGTAAACAGTTTCTGGAATGAACTGGAGTGAGGTTTGATTAAAATTATGATATTGTTCATTTACAGAATCTTGAAAATAATTCAAAAATGTTAATTACTCGAGGATAACTGGATCAATTTCCAAAAATATACCAATGATGCATACCTAGAGAAATGAAAGACTATGAAGGAAATGTCACAAAAACGGTTTTTCCTCTTGAAAAAAGTTGTTAACGTGTCCTCGGCGGCGATTGAAGCCTCACTATTGCTTTTTTTAACAGAAAGTACAAAAAACGTATGCATTTTCACGTAATTTAGCTAGTCCTGTTCGACAGTTGAGAGGGGCTGAACTTTTTACGTACGCACTGTATATTCGTACGATTTTTATGTTCATTTTTATATATTTTCATAACCTCATTTCGTGTTTGAGACATGAGAGGAAGGAACATTTTTTAGTCACCACTTTGTCAGTCACTAAATGAATTTTTCGAACTTTTGAACCTAAACCTGAATAAAACCTCCAAAAGTGTAAATAAATCATCTTGTGTTAACTAGTATCAACAATCTGAAATTGTCAGTC